AAAGTGCCCTATTCCCCTCCCGTCCCATCCAATCTCACACAGGCACACATGCGCGCACATTGCACGCTCCTCCAAGCTACTAGCATGCAGCAACTGCTGCTGCCACAAGTAGTAGTAGTAGCAGCTCATCGTTCATCAAGCTAGCGCCACACAGAAGCTCGGCTTCCCGATCCATCCATATATACATGCACAAGCCGCATGGCTACAAGGATTGGAATAAAGCGGCGACGACGCCCCCAAGCATGAGGTGAAAACCCTACACAGTGTGAGCCCTATAGCTGGCACTGTGTCAGGAGGTGAGGCCAAGAGAGGGAGAGACCCTTCTCATTCTCCTTCTCTCTCTTGTCAAATATCTTTGGGATAGCGAAGTGAGCGCAATTAAAATGGTTAGATTTCTTGTGGCAGAACCAATCCACCTAAATTTAAGTTCTAAGGCTGTATTTAGTTGGATCAAAAATTTGGATTTTGGTTAAAATTAGAGATGATGTGACTGAAAAGTTATGTGTGTATGACAGGTTGATGTGATGGAAAAGTACTGAAGTTTGGATCCAAACTTTGGATCTAAACACGCCCTAAATTTGACACATTATTTCAAGTTGTAGACGACGCATCCGTCGATAGCGAGACGCGCTTGGTGACTTCGTCAATCTCAAGATATGCTAGCCCAGTTTTAGATACTCATGGGAGTAGGAAGTAGGATGCACGTGTGTGCATTTATAGAAATGAGTGCCCACGCCCTATCAGCAACTGTGTTTGTATTGTGTTCTAAAAAAATATATATTTGTGCTAGCTTGTGTGGTGATCACCAGTGGGCACGGAAAATGCATATAAAAATGTTGCGTGGATTGTATATATGCATGTATGCTCTCTTGTATGTACGTCGAGAGAAGCTATGGTATGTAAGCTTTTTGTGCGTGATGTGTGCTGCAAAGCCTTGTTGGCTACTAGTACAAAAATTGCGATTGCGTGCAACACATCTGACAACATCTCTGTGTACAGTGTGGCTGGGTTTTTTGCTGCTTTGCGAAGGAGATGGCTTTCTTTGTGAGACGGACGGGAGGGTTTGTCCGGCAGCGCTTGGCCGGGAGCCGGATTCCCCTGTATTCCCCTGTGGTGGACCAAGGCGCTTGGGTGTGGGTCACCTACTGTCTCTCTCTCAATCTCGCTCTCTTTCTCTCCTCGCTGCTGCATGCATGCACCTAGTATATGGCTTGGCTTTTTAACCACACTTCGCTGCATGACCCCCGTGACCATGGGTGCATTTTTTCTTTTTCTTTTTTTACTTTGGAATTGGTTGCATGGATATAGGGTATGTTTGGGGAGCTTTAAATTCTGAGAAGCAGCTGTTTGGTAGTCAGCTTCTAAGAATCTGAAAAAGCTCTGAAACCTAGCTTCTCCAGCTTCTGACTTTTTAGTTTATTTTTCAGAATCTGTAAAGAAGCTGTGGACTGTTTAGGGCAGCTTCTTGCAGAAGCAGTTTTTGATAAAAGCTGTAGCTGGGACAAGCTCCCCTAAACAGTACCAAAGTTTGATACGGCTGCCAATTGGGCAAAACAAACGAGATTTTGTTTTCCTACTCCTAGTGCTGCTTGCAGGCATGCAGCTAGCGGCCGGGCTCAATCTCATTTGGGATTCAAATTTAGATGTGTGGTAGTACACTAGTACTCTCTACATCATACATGTAACCCATTTTATAGTTACTTCATTGGATTGTTTGCTTTGCGTTGCATTGGTTAAACCACTTGTTCGGTTTATTTCTCAAAATATTTAATTTATCATTGTAATCAAATGATAATTTGCAACAGTACTCCAATGACTTTGTTTCAAGTAGATGAAATTGCTACCGAGATGTGTTAATTTAGCTGGGCTAGGCCTTAGAGAAGTTCCGGGTCTTGGAAATTTGATCTCTCAGTGAGGAAAGACCACGCGAAGGACCGTTTCCACCCATTATCTACGCACGATCATTGCGATTTAATTTGCGTTAAAATTTTACGCACTTAACTACACGTCGTGATTGGTGGTGCCCAAATTCGTTTCTTTTGGAGCTGCCCACAATTCCCTTCAACGCAAAGATAAAAAAAAAAAGGGGAGCTCAGCCCTAGAGTAAATTGATGATCTTTCTCTCGGTCTCAATCTCCCCGACACACTAGCCTCTAATCTTGATCAAAAACATGCGCAGGATGAAAAACGTGTGACTGTTGATCAAAAACATGTGCATGATGAAAAACGTGTGACTGTTGGAACGAAAGAATTCGCAGAACATTCCAGCATAAGGAGCTCCCACCGAATGGTCTTGTGACAAAAATCAAGGAAGAGACCAAGACATGGGCCTTAGCAGGCGCGCATCATTTGAAAAATTGGCTTGTTCCTTAGTTGACTAGGGCCAAAGGTCCTGAGTTTTTTTCTTTTCCTTTACACTGTACAGTTTTTTTCTACTATATTTAATGAAATTAGCGGCTCGCCGATTCGTTAAAAAAAGAAAAAGAAAGCGTGTGACTGTTCATGGTGGGTGTAATAAGGCCTTCTTTGATTCAAATAAAAATCCCAACAAAAGATCCTCCTCCCATCCCATGCATGCATATATCCTGCCGAGCCACCGTACGTACGCGCCCACCGCCAACCAGGGGCGCCGCGTAGTACGTACTCCCGCGGTCGCGCGGGGAAGGACCGATCCGGGGTTCAGGTTTAGCCGGCATGTCGCCGTGTTGCGCGCGCGCTGTCTACCTTACTGGCGTACGATCCGATCCGTCGTCGTCGACTCGTCGTGTAGAAGGCAAGGCGCAGCGCGCGGCGCGCGGGGCGCGTAGGTGAGCGAGCCGCGCGCGCGCGGGCGGCGGCATACGTAGCAGAAGCGTATCAACGACACGTACGTACGGGTCGATGGGGGTGTGCGTGGGGCGCCCGTGCACGCACGCACGCACGCCGCTATCGGGCAGATTCGCGGGGCGGTCGCTATCCAACAAACCCAGCGATGCGATGCGATGCGCGGCGCGGATGCTGATTGAGATGGACCGCGATACGGAGCGGAGCGAGCGAGAGAGGCGCGGCCCGTTGCGCTTGTCCCCCTCTGCTCGCCCGTTTCCCCCTTTGCTTCCGCGCTTCAGCGCTTGTCGACCGAGACCCCCTTGTCGACTCCCTGTGGGTATCCATGTTCCCTGCGTCCCTCACCTCGGCTCTGCCTGACACACCAATGTCAGCCCTTTGCATTCCACGCTTTTACCATTTCATTCCAACGGCTATGCACACAGCTTAGGGATATACTTCCTCTTGCCCAGTAGACTGGACGTTCTAGCATAGTTGAGTCAAACTAAGCTTAGATAAAAAATTACCATATAGCTCTAATTGGAGTACTAATCACTTTGAATAACCATGATAAGTAGTCATTTCAAACCAAAAATATACCTGCCGTTCCTGCCACGGTGGAATCATAGATGAGCTTCTGTTCATGATAACCCGATTAGTAAAATTTGAATCGTACACTGCTGCGCCGGCCTCATGTCTACGCTCCTTGCTAAAACGCATTATGAGACAATGGACAGAAAGTAAAACGTCAAATATACTAGAACGGAGGGAGCACTATATATGATTCTTGTTGGTGCCTTTTATGCTTCTCATGCCATAATTAGGGATGCATGATTAATTTAGACTTATGTTATTCAAGCTCTGTAATAACTGGTTGTCTGTTAAAAGCGAAGGACCGGCTTCCCATTATCTAAAATACACATAGCTAATGGGTGTACTTCCTCCATTACAAAATACAATTTCTCCTACCATTTGCATTTTGTTTTGAATTATATCTATTTCTCTACCTACTTTTAATCTCAATCGATCACAATTATTCCTCATTTAATTTCACCTCTCCACTGAAAAGCCCTAAAGATAAATATATTGTGGAATGAAGAGAAAGAATATTAGTTAATTATTGTTACTCGCTGATTAACCATTACATTATTTGCCAAACAGATCTAGCTTAGTTGATCGATTGATATATCATGAATCCCGCATTATTTTTTTTCACGTGAAATTAAGACGTACTCCCTCCGTCCCAAAAAAAGACAAACCCTAGTTTCCGTGTCCAATGTTTGACCGTCCGTCTTATTTGAAAAAAATATAAAAAAATTAAAAAGACAAATCACGCATAAAATATTAATCATGTTTTATCATCTAACAACAATGAAAATACGAATTATAAAAAAATTTCATATAAGACGGACGGTCAAAGTTGGACACGAAAATTCAGGGTTTGTCTTTTTTTGAGACGGAGGGAGTAGGGACTAGCTAGACAGCAATGTCAAACGGGTCACGAGCCAGTTTGTCACACGGCCTTTTTCTATTTTTCCTTTTTTCTTCCTTCGTACGACCTCTGAAATTTGCTTAGCAAATGTTTTGTACCATCGATCAGCACCGTCCTAATGGCTCGATAGCCCGACAGCGACTTAAGACGCATCTTGTTGATAGGACAAAACCCACATGACGAGGCGGGTCTTAATCGCGGAAGAATGACACGGGAGAGCAGCTTAATGGCAAAGGGAACGCTAGCTTCCATTAGAGACAAGATCGACCACTTTCATTGGCCTCTTACCCGCAATCACAAGCGGCCACCCTAATCTGCAAGAATTATTACCAGTACCACCTTTGTTGGACCGTAGGCAGCCTTTGTTGGAGGCCACGTTTGCTACTGTTACCAATCCAAAATCAAAATCCTGATGCAACGACCATGCCTGCAAATTGCAGCATTAGTACAATCCAAGCTAAATAATGCAGCTATATGATGTACTGCATTGTTGTGCCATTACATCACGACATTGGATTGAAAGGTTGTGTAGATCACTTTTAACTTTTATTTTCCCAGCAATCAATCTCAGACTACAGTTGTTCTTTTCATGGTTTGCATGGCGCCAAGGCCCCAAAAGGATAGGTGCGCAAGATTCGTAGCCAACCTTTAAGCTGCATCTTGTCCTTCAGAAAAGTTTTAAAAAAAGAAGACATCCGACAAGGCAGACAGGAATTACTCATAGAACAGCTCAAATTGCCAATCAACTTGGAAGAACAATACCGCTTCTAGCTAAGCTTTGTTTTCTTGTAGTTTGCTACACAGCACTACAGCTACACAGAATTCAGAGAGCAATTGGAAGGGAGAATCACAGAATGAACTGATTTCCGTACGCTCGGTGAACGGACAATCAAACGAATGCAGCCTACGAGCGTTGCCAGGTACAATCCTCTACAACTTGTAATAAATAGATGCCAATGTTAGATTCTACTGCATCCTGAATGGCTAGTAACAAGTGTAACAAACACCATCTAAACTGGACCTGGCAGCCGCGGGCACAACCGAATCTAATGAATTGCTCAGAACCGCAGCTTCAGAGGAAGTTAGTACAGCGAGTTGAAGCACAGGGCAGGCAGGCCCCTACATGCCAGTAAACTGTAGATTCGTGCATCCACGCCCTGAAAGGCAAATCCGGCTTTGAGTTAGGGTCACGCACGTACAACCGTACCAATCACGGGGTGGTGAAAGCACTAAGACTTGACAGCAACAGTAAAGGGCGCACCTACCCGTGCAAGGTGTTCATGCCTCCAAGGCGAGCTGTTATTCAGAAGCACTTCTTGTGAACGATGGATGGACCAGTCTCGTCGTAGTCTCCCTTGGTGACGTGCTGGTTTTGCGGGAAAACGACCTTGGCCAATATTGCACCGCCCAGCCAGGCCGAGTACCTAGCTAGGTTCTCGGGCATATATTCTGGAGGCTGGAGGAACGAGTGTTTGGTTAATGAAGGTCAAACAGAGTTGGACCTGGGGAATTGGGATGAAGGGAGAGGGAGGTGGTTACCTTTACAAGAGATGGGCAGATTGCTGAAGCAGACAGATTTGCTTCTCTCTGGAACCTGTCTTCAAAACCTTGAAAGTGAAAGCATGAGGTTATATACCTTGAAATTGAAACTAAGTTATAAGGCTCTTAACTAAATAATTGGTTTCAAATGGTTTTGGTGACATGAAATGAAAAGCCATTTAAATCAATCTGCAACCAAGCATAAGAAAGCACTAATGAATGCAAAGCTACAGTAGTGCCACCAAACCAAATCGTATACAGACCAAAACATATTTTAAGCAAGTATTCACTAAAATATTGATTATATGCACTGCTGTGACCAGACTGCAGTATCGTAAGACTCTTGACTCTAACCAAACACAAATTTTCCACCACATATTCAGTGTAATATTGACAGCTGACAAAATTCAAAATGACAACAACAGAACAAGAGGTTTCCTAATATAATAAAAGATCCCAGTTTCTCTCCCTCCAAATAAAAGTTCAAGGTCCAACAGCAAGAGTTCTCAAATGGACAAACTACCATAGTGGTCCCATTTCTTTGCTCTGGAACATAGCAAGGAAACAAACAATAGTAATTCTCACATGGATCATAAACCAATAGCATTACAATACTGGCTCAGATAATTGCATCTCCACAAGTCTCATACAGAATGCAAATTTTCATACCGAATGATAATGCTCTTCACATGTATATATATTATCAATGTCAAAATAGCAAGACTAAAAATGCTCAAATAATAGTTGATGTATATGCCTTTTATTTGTGAGGTAAAAGACTGATGAATCCGACAGCGTAAAGTAGCATTAACTAACCAGTCATTGATGCAGTGCCACCACATAACATAGTGTTTTCAAGCAGCTGACGATGGTACTCTGGTGTGACATTCGAGACGCTTGTAACCAGCTGATGAACAATTCCATAATCTTCTAAGCCCAAAATGTGGGGTTGAAATAAAGCTTCACCAACAATGTACCGTTCTTTTTCAATTGTTATAACCTGGGGGAAGAAGTGTTCAGAAATATAGGTTTGCACAGATTCATAGCAATAAGTAGCCAACAAGATATGTGATCAACCAAAACAGATTAAGACATACAGCTATCATGCATTTCATGAAGAGACAGATTGCACATAACACATACAGTTAACAGAAACAAAGTCAATACTGGGCCCTATATTATACATAGAAAAGACCAATATAGAGCAAGTCAATAACCAACCTGCCCATCTGGAAGTGTGTGCCTTTCTGGTCGGCATGAGCTTCCTATAGCTTCAAAGGCCATTTGATCTTCTGCACAGCATGCATACTGCTCTTTCAGCCGCTCAACATCAGAAATATCAATGTTTACCGATGAGTTAGATTTTTTGAGTTCTTCCGCAAATAGGTTTGTCAAGTCAGTTCCTCCAATATCAAATCTCTTTGATGCTATGTGCTGAACAGCACCTTCACAAACTGGAGCAATATCTGTTAAAATAGAAAGGATGTCAATACAACGTTAAGCTCCAAAACGACTGCTGCTTCCCCACCATTATGAAACTAAACGGTGTTTATCAAAACACACCACACAGCCAATGCTGAACAACATAAATACAGTTTACAGATGGAATTGAATTATTTATATACATCCGTTGGGGCCAGCTTTGTATTGCTGTGTCCTGCTCTGATGTGTTACAGAATCTAGTTAATTAAATGGAATCTTTTAACAAATAAAATAAATGTTTATCTATGCCTGCAACAAAAGAGGTTGGAGTTACTCCACAGTTATTCCCATTAAGTTAGTGTGCCAGAAAAATAATAGTAAGATAAAATAGTCTGCCAGAAAATAGCAAGATAAAAATGAATATTTTAAAAAAATCTGAAACAAAATCATGGTAAGTATACTACCTTAATGAGTAGAACAATAATAATGGAAGAAGAGTAACCTAAGCATTTCAATTACACAAGATTTCTGTCACCCTTGTATGATGTTCTGTGTATGCACAAACATCATTAATCACTGGGCGGCACTTGTTGTTGCACATTTTTTGAGCTCAAAAGGAAATCATTCTTTTTTCCCAGCAAGCCTTCGATATGTGCAGCTTTACTCTAAAGTAGATAAATACTCCCTCCATTCCATTATACAAGGCTTAACTGTGTTTTTCAGAAGTTCCAGAATATAGGGCGGCAGATGCAGCGGCACCTCCTTGACTCCGTTATTCTCGTTCATGCGCATGCATGCATTGAAGGCAGCTGCAGCGGCACCTCTTTGAATCATGTAATTCTCATCCATGCACATGCATGCAGTGAACGCTATTCGTTGGCTTGCTTTGGTTGTTTTAAAGCCCCCTAATTCTGTGGCAGTTATAGGAGCTTCCTTGGTTTTTGCATCCAAAGCCTTGTATAGTGGAATGGAGGGAGTAATGTAGAAAGAAGCAAAAGGGATGCAAGCATTACACAAGGAACATAAGATATGCTACACTTGTAAAGTTGTCTTCTCTGTACTTAGAAGCATTCATTAGGTGAATTTGATTCTGTTGTACCTTTTATTTCTGTCAGTATGGAATTATGCCCCCCCCCCTCCATCCTCTCAACACACACAAATACACAATATATAGAGAGAGAAGCATACAAACAGAACAACAAACAACATATGTTGTTTTTTCAATTCATTTTTCCTAAAACAAAAGGTTGGGTCACAGAGAAATTTAGTTTTGCTTATATGGCAAGAGTTCATGCATAAGGAAGTAAAATGCAGAGCAAAGCATGATCTTTAGCCAAATAAAAATAAGCACAAAATTTAAAAGGAAAAACATACTACTATATTGGCTCAAACAAAAGTAGGGTTATATTACCGATTTTCCCATGCCCAATGTCCACTGTACAGCCCGAAATGCGTCCAACTGCATAAAGTGACAATACAGCCTGCTCAGAGTCATAAAAGCCTGAAACATTGAATTTTTCGAACATAAGTTGCGCCAGTTGCTCCCGAAGTGCCTGGAGAGAGCATAACAAAAGATGAGGAAACATGCTGTCAAAATTTGAAACAACAGAATAATAGTTAAATCAACGCATTCACAATAAAAATAATGAGCGAAGTCAAATGAAACAATCTTCGTAAAGTAGTAACAAAGAATTTGAATTGAAGTTCAAAACGGCGAAGCATACTTAGGGTCCCTTTAGCACAGCTTGGCTTTTCGAAACTACTGACATTTATTTGGTCTATGGATTCATGCAACCATCAAGATTACATAGAGCAACACAAGATACAGCACTGCAATCACACACAATCATGAAATGTCTAAATATGCTAGTAAAAGGAGCAAAGGACCCATTCCCGTTCGTGCAATATCAATGTCTGGAAAATATTCACTAGAAGGAATGCAAGATATTCAGGTAGCATATCTATCAGTAAATCGTAATTTTGAAATGATATGCAGGAACAACTGCAGCTTAGCTAACAAACATTGCTTGAGCAGAAGCATGAACAATGGTCAATAGGACATGTTTAAATATTACATGTTTAAATTTTAAATATTTTATAATGCACATAGCACGTTAAAATCGAGTTAGATTTAAACTTTATAACGCAGAGCATATACCGATTTGGTCCAAAACTAGAATTTTCTTTACAATTGAGCTATTCAACAAATAACCAAAAAATAGCACAAGAGTTTGACTGAAACATAAATTTAGGACAAAATCCGACCATATAATGGCAGTTAGCCTAGAGACTATAGCTAGCAAGTTAGACGCAAAGTGTTTAAACTCGCTATGGGCACCTCATAGACATACCAAATGACCCTAAAAATTCGGAGCTTAACATTTCGGCATGTAAAGTAATGAGTGAGTATCAATTTGGACCAGTTATCAGCCAAATCAACAGGTTTACAGCGTAGAACAATGAACACGTTCAAATGAACCACGAAGCCTATCACCTTGGGTGTGAAGAGCGGCTCTGTGAAGAGGATCTGGCCCTCATCCCCAATCTCCCACCCAATGTTGCTGTACAGGACGTAGTTGAGCAGGTCCTCCATGGCGTCCCAGTCCTTGACGAAGCCACGCACCACCGGCTGCACCACCTCCTCCACCACCGCGCCGTCGCCCATCTGACCGTCCTCTACCTCCAACTTCATCTTCGACGGCATCACCTAACCAACCAACCAAAACCAAACCAAACCCAAAAAACCTCAGATAATTCTCAAATAACCAACGGAATCTCAAGAGGAGCGGGAGATCTGGCCGCTCACCAGCGATGGGGACTGGTCGGGCAAGGCGATGCCGGCCTTGAGCAGCTTCGACCCCGCGTCGACGACCACCGCCTCCATGGCGCCCGCGGCGGGGAGCGGGGAGGAGAAACCCTAAGATTCGGAGTCGAGACGAGACCCTGCCTAGGAGCTAGGGGAAGAGGAGGATGTGGATGAGGAATTTATTTTTGAAAATCTCCTCTCCCCGGAAGCGAAGCCGCGGGAAAACGCGAGGGTTTTGGAGAATTTGGAGGCTGCGCGAGGAAGAAGAAGAAGAAGAAGAAGAAGAAGAAGAAGAAAGAGACAAGCGCGTGGGATCTCGAAGCGGCCGCGACCCAGAAAACACAAGCGATATATCATTTACGTAATTTAATTTTACGCCTTCTTGTAGGGTTGGCGTATTCTGTGTTTCCGCTTGAGGACTACTTGGTGGGCATTGCGGGCCCCCTTCTCTCTCGCTGACACCATGGCCCCACCGCCAGCGACCTCGCGCTTCCTCCTCCTCCCGCCGCGACTCGCCGCCGCGCGCGGCATCTCCGGCCAGCCGCCGCCGTCTCCCCACGCCGCCGCGCCCACCTCTACACCGCAGGCCTTCCACGCGCACCTCGCGTCGCTCGCGGCGCCTTCCCGCGCCGCCCACCCGGCCACCCTCCGCTCCATCCTCGCCGCGCTCTCCCGCGCCCGCGCCGCGGGGCTCCCGCTCCTCCCGGCAACCCGCGTCCTCGCTGCCTCCGCGCTGCTCCGACATGGCCGCCTTCCCGACGCCCTCGCGCACTTCGGCCTCGTCCCCGACTCCGCCGCCCTCCCCGCGCCGCTCTGCAACTCGCTGCTCGCGGCGCTCGCGTCCTCCGGGTCACTCGTTTCCGCGCGCAAGGTGTTCGACAGAATGATCGGGAGGGCCGTCGAGCTTGACACGGTTGGTTTCGGGGTGTTCGTCAAAAATGTGGGGAGGAGGCATGGATTGGCCGAGGTTCTGCGGTTGGTGCAGGCAGTGCGCCATCAAGGGGACCGAGTTGATAGGTCAGTTGTTGCAGTAATGGTTGCTGATGGTTTGTGTCGGGAGGGGAGGATTGAGGATGCTTGGCAAGCTTTGGAGGATATGAGGTTTCAAGGGTGGAAGCCAGATTTTGTAGCTTATAGAGTTGTATCAGAGGCGTTTAGGGAAGCAGGGAGGACAGAAGAGGAAGGTAGGATCTTGAAGCAGAAGAGGAAGCTCGGGGTTGCGCCTAGGAAGGAGGACTACAGGGAGTTTATGTTTGCATTGTTGTCCAGCAGGCAGATTGGCGAGGCAAAGGAAATAGCAGAGGCAATTGTTTTAGGGGATTTCCCTATCAATGATGACGTGTTGAATGCACTGATTTGTTCAGTGTCTGAGATTGATGTCGATGCTGCTGTTATGTTCTGCAAGTTCATGATAGGGAAGGAGAGATTTCCAAGCAGCGATATGCTTATACACCTTTGCGAAAGCCTCTGCACGAATGGGAAGGGCGATGATATGTGGGAATTTTTTAGGGTGCTCTTAGATAAGGGGTATTGTACAGATGTGAGGGATTACCATTTGGTAGTATCATTCTTAGGCAAGGCTGGGAAGGTGCGAGAGGCATATGATGTACTAAAGGAGGTGAAAAGAAAGAGACTTGAGCCTGACATTTCATCATACAATTCTCTCATGGAGTCACTCTGCAGAAAAAACCTCCTTAGGCCAGCCAAGAAGCTGTGGGATGAAATGTTTACCAGTGGCTGTAGTCCAAATCTGCAGACTTACAATATACTCATAACAAAATTTGCAGAAATCAATGAAAGTGAACAAGCCCAACAACTGTTTGATCGCATGTTCCAGAAAGGAGTGTCCCCTGATGTCACAACATACACTTCAGTCATCAATATGCTGTGCCAAGAAAAGAAATATGAACAGGCTGTGGAGATCTTTACCAAATGTGTGGTGCAGGATACTGAAGTGGCTAGTTCAGTATTAACTGTGTTTATCCTTGCACTCTGTAAACAAGGTATGATTCTTCAATAATATTAGTGATGTTTTAATTGTTAAATATCTCCTTTAAAATATCATCCATGATATATTTCAGGTAATTTCAAAGGAGCACTGAGTGTTTTATCTTGTATTCCATCTAATGTTGAGAGTGTGAATTCACACGTCATTTTGTTGAAGTGTCTAATAGATGTTGGGGAAGTAGATTTGGCCATTGAGCACATAAAATCGATCAGGAGTAACTTCAGCTCAAGTTTCCAGAATATAATCAATGAGCTCATGGCCTCTCTTTCCACTTCTGCTAGTCTTCAACCTGTCACAAGGTTGATTTCTTATTTGAATTCTCAGGGGATTGTTCACGATGTTGGCCCATGGATGGGGTTGATGGAGCACAATTATGCTTGAAACAAAGTTTTCAATGTTGTGCTGTCGTAAGTTGTAACATGATGGAGTATTTGACACTATTATGAGGTCAGGCCGCAGCTTATTTCAGAAAGGGTGATAGTGATATTTCTTTTGGACACAAAGGGTCAGAATGTTACTAGAGGGAGCAGCAAGTGGAGAGAAATTGCACAGGCAATTCAGAAGAACGAGTCAGGAGTTATCTGGAATCAGAAAAGGAGCAACCAGTGCTCTCAGTTCTCAGTATTCACCAAGTACAGATGGCTGGATATTTTTTATGAAAATCGCGTTGGTGATCATTTTCTTCCAAGAACCAGAAATTGGTTAGGTAATATCTGTTATCAATTTTTTTTATCTCCTTTTATGATCTTATCACCTGTAATTCCATGCCATAGCATATGTACCCCTTTTTTCCCACAAGGATCAGGGAAACCAATGAATTTTATTGTTAGGTGTACATCATAAGTTCATAACGTGTAGGCATGGTTAATCTCAGACCCAGTTTCTTCTAATTGCAGGTGATGTGCTGCGCAGCAGTTCTATCTCTATGTTCCTGTTGCAAGATTTTGCACAGTGTTTGCTGGTCACTAACAACTGATCCATGTGTCAGTTATGCTTATGCCTGTGAGCACTCAGCAAGGCAGCAAACAAGTTACTCTATCCAAGAAAGCAGATCGTGACTATTATTCTGCTTAGTTCTCACAAAAAGAAAAAAGACTATGATTCTGCTTCTATACTGGGATTTGGCACTGGCAGTGATGGTGAATCAGAATGATTTTTTTTATCAGTTTTGTGGAATGTTAGTCCATTCTGTACTGATCAGTGATCAGAGTGTTGTGTTATAGAGGGCCATCGAAGCAATTCCCTCCGTCCCTGCAGAAAGATGAAAAATGAAAGCTCTCTGAGGGATGCATCACTGTGAACAGGTAGTCGGCATCACCCCGCCATGCCCATGCACATGCACGGACGCTCATAAGTTTGGATTAGGACGCCATTCGCAGGTGTTTTTTTCTTCTTCTTTTTTTCCTTTTTTTGCGAGGGCACAGATTCTTTGGTATTCTGGTTCAGGTACTACAGATGTGTATGATTTCATAAGTAAAAGTTTGTATTACAGCTTAACCTTGTTGTATCGTCTCGAATGAATGAAGCTCCTGCTAAAAACATTTTTCTTGAAAAAGGTTAAGCTGTCTTTTTTTTTTTTTTTGCTATCTCTAGAATCTTTGAACAAATGACAGGAAATTAGGATCCGTACACGTATTTTGAGCCCATCTGAAATATTCAGATGGGAAACATCAGAAATAACAGTTGTAGTATCATATACTTTTCTGCAAGGCCGAAATGCGTCGGGAAGGTGGAAGAGGAAGCAGAGGAGAGGCAAGAATCACTTGTACAATGCAGAGAGCTTGGCGTGTTTCTTCGGCCTGGCCGACCCATCCAAGAGAGGCCACATCCTAATTTCGTTTCATTTTTCTATCAACAGATCCTTAATTTCTTTCTCTTCGGAGGATTTATATAGTCTTATAAACATGCAAAATTGGTCTTATGTTTATATGTAAATTTCGTTCAAATGGGGAATTTGTTATATATGGAGTTCTTACGGTAAAATCGCGAGCATCATGGTTTCGTGGTGTAGTTGGTTATCACGTCAGTCTAACACACTGAAGGTCTCCGGTTCGAGTCCGGGCGAAGCCAATTTTTTTAAATTCGTTTCAGAAAAATTTTTCATAATACTCAGTTTTTTTTTTGGCGTAATGGTCGTTTCAATTTTATTTTTAAATTGCTTTCAGAAATATTTTATTTCATAATACTCAGATTTTATGCGTAACGCTCGGATAAAAAAAAATCCACTTTTACGATGTCTCATGGTAATGAACCTCATTTCGTTTTGTCTCATGGTTGATGTCATATTTCAACTTTTTTTCCCGAGTTATTTTCACATGTAGGAAAGAAAATTTTCCTTTGGTTTTCCTCTACTTCTAATCCTACAAAACAAATGACACTCATAGACATTAATCCCTAAAAGTCCAAATCCTTAAATTATTATTTCCTCCAAAACGAACAAACCCTTAGAGAAGGACAATAAGAGGTCGGCACTTGGGCTTGAGCAGGATGAACTCCTCACTTTCTTCTCAGTCCTCACTACCGGCGCCATCCATATGACTACCCACAGGCTATTAAAAGCAGGAAGACAAGGGCATTATGTTCCATAACAAAATACGGTAGAAAAAGGAGATTCAAAATGTATTTCAAGCGTGTACTGTGACATGATCCAATTTTAGCATTGTTGTCATGGCATAATTTCAAGTACATGAATAACAGTGGTAGATTTTAAAACCGTAAAAATTATAATGGCATAATTTTAATTAAACCCATGTCCACCTAATTTTAGTGGGTTATCTAAAACTATAAAACTAAATAAGCAACAGTCAACAGAGTAATTAACTCCAGCTGATCTTATTTTATTCTATATATCCAAATCATGTGTTGCACTGTCATACTCATAGGCACAAAATGATCCGTTTATTATAGTTAATTTGGGCTTGGCTGCAACTTGGTTTCGTGGTGTAGTTGGTTATCACGTCAATCTAACACACTGAAGGTCTCCGGTTCGAGTCCGGGCAAAGCCAAATCTTTTTAATTTTTTCCATTTTTACTTTGTCGTTCACAAGTTTGAACTTACACTTTGATGAAAACTGCGTCTTTATGTACTTTCTGACTCACAAGTTTGAATTTATACGTTGACATCTGATACTTCTCGAACATTTTTACTTTGTCGTTCACAAGTTTGAACTTACACTTTGATGAAAACTGCGTCTTTATGTACTTTCTGACTCACAAGTTTGAATTTATACGTTGACATCTGATACTTCTCGAACATGTCATTACAGCCATGCACCCCATAACTGATGTAGCTATTTATATTATTACTAAAAATAACATATTTAAAAATTGATGGAGGTCAAATGGCATATTCTTACTACCTGAAATATTCTGTTTACACTTGTATTTCTTCTACCCTGACGAACAATCACATTTCAATAGGCGGCTGTTTGATATGTGCCTTGTCAAATTTTGGTTGTTTGACAGGGCACCAAAGTTGTGATTTCAACCATCTGACCCCTATTTTTATAATTTTCTATTAAAATAGTATTGTCTCTAAAAAATTCGTTAAAACAGGGAGACAGAAGGGCATTCTGTTCCATAAAAAGTATGGTAGAAAAAATATTTAACACAGGTCTCAAGCTAATAGTGTGATATGGATTCGATTTTAGGCTTGTCATGGTGATATGGTTCCAATTACATGAATATAGTGGTAGATTTTAAAAACCATAAAATTTACAATTGCATGGATTTAATTAATTAAACCTTCAAGTAATAGTGTACATTTGCAATGATAAAACTAAATAAGAAATAGAGTAGTTATGTCGAGCTAATCTATTTTATTACATCTAAAGCATGTGTTGTACTGGCCCATAGGGATAATTTATTTAAAGTAATTTGGACTTACCAGCAGCTTGGTTTTGTGGTGTAGTTGGTTATCACGTCAGTCTAACACACTGAAGGTCTCCGGTTCGAGTCCGGGCGAAGCCAATTTTTTTTCTATCAAATACTGTGTTCATCCATATTTTCTCTATCAAATCATTTTTTTTTCTTTTTGTATATACTATGTTCATCCATATTTTCTCTATCAAATAAATAACGTGTTCGTTAATCGTTATCCAAAGAAAAAGGAATTAAAATGAACGCTGATCGTGACATCTATATTGTTGTTCCTACTGTGTCCTTTGACATCTACGAGTTTATAGTTCTTCCATATTTTCTCAATCAAATAAATAATGTGTTCTCTATCCAAGGAAAAAAATAAAATATAAATAACTAAAATTAACGTTGATCGTTGGATTTATTATTAAGGTAACTCAAATAAGAGTCACCAAGTTTGCTTAGAAATTCTCACATTAATTTTAGAAAAAAAAATGACCATTGTCATAATGGGTTTAAAATATAGCGGTGTAAATTGGTTGGTGGTATCTATAAAACGAGAAGTTAAGAGATGTATATCTAATTCCACTTTTAAAAGTATGGTGTATACAAACTACAGGTAACAGAAAAGAAATTAAAAGTTGTATATGACATCCAATTCTATTTTCTATTTCAAGAGTTGTATATGAAATCTGACTCTATTTCTAGTTTTATATAGAAATCATAATTGCATTTTTTTTATAGAAGTACTCCCTCCATTCCATAATGTAAAGCACACACATATTTCAAGATTTAACTTTCAAAATATCTCACTAACGATTAGTATAATATAAATTGAATTTTATTTGTTGAAAATAATATTATTGGATTGATATTTCAATATACTTTGATATGGTTATAATTTTGTTGCTACAAATTTTATAGTATATAAGAAATTATAAGTCAAAAAATAGTTTTGTATACTGTGCCGAGTTTGACCATACCTTACATTATGGAATAGAGGTAGTAGAAAATAAGAATTGTATATAGATCCACTCGTTTTTCCTTTAAAATGCCCAAGCTCGTATAATTCAGCAAGCAGTTAGCCCTATATTTATCACAACAAAAGAAATATCAATCAGTTCTCTTGCTCTGCAGTCTGCACTATTAGCATGGAACAACAGTACTAACACAACTTGAGAGGACTGGGTCAACAAGAGATAATAGATGCAACCAACTTGGACATGAACTCCAAATCTCCACCTATAAATGTGAAACAGGATACGATCCCAGATTCTAGTGCTCGTAGATGGTGACTGAAGTAGAACCCTAATAAACACAAGATGCTGACATGAACATCAACGAGTCTACTTTTTTCATCTAAAATGATGTAGGAGATATTCATGTTATTATGGAACAAAACATCAATGTTCTTAAGGGAAGCTTACGGCAATATGGCCTTTTGGGAGCGCATATTACACGGCACACTTAATTCCTTTCAGACTATTCACCGGATTATTTGCACCATGCTTTGAAAAATATGTTTTATCAAAAAAAAATCTACAAGATTGCTTAACCACTTGTTTTAAGTTATCTGTTATATCAAAATGATTAATTATCCCTATAATAAAGTAGATAATCTACAGCAACAATCCGTTCAATAATCTATTTTAAAAATCTATTTTAAACTGAGCCTGAGTTGTTTCCCCCCTTCCACTTCGAAGTCAATGTACGGTTGATCCAACGGCTCAAAGCAGTGATCGCAAACTGTTTATCTCGCAGCTGATTGCGAAATAGGACTTCCATAAGCTGGCCATATATTGGCTTTGCCAACTAGGTGAAAAGAAGTAACTACAGCAGTAAAACGCCACAGCAAAGTGTTTTACACCACCTCTACTGTACATGTTCCGGCAATACAAGCCAGAGGTTGCATTTACATGGACATCACTGTCCAGGCTCAGCAAGTGCCCCCGGCTGCATCATCCTCCTCCTCCTCCTCTTACGCTGCAATGACGCAGGCGACAATCTGTTCAATCCCGAAGAATAACGGAAAGGCGAAAGCAACAGCGGCGAGGCGTGGAGCAAGGAGTGCCAGGGGATCCCATTGTGGTAGACAGGAAAAAAAAAGCTCAGGAGATAGTAGATATGATCCTATGAACCAGTTGCAATGTGCAGGGACCCCCCATAGCATGTGCAGGTAGGACCATGTAATAACCTGCACTTGAGTGCTGTAACATCAGGCAAAAAAAGAAATTGGCAACTCCTGTATACCTTCAGGTTTCTGCTGGGATGATGGCAATTTGCAATGGTGGTAGGGTTCCCAGACATAATCCTCAGGCTCTCCCAGTTGTTGTTCCTGCTGCTGCTGCATGAGTCACAAAGAACCAGAATGCTGAAGATTTTGGCAATAAGTGTGTCGGCTCGTTTGTGCAACAGTCAGACACAATCAGACAATCAGTGTTCACCAAATCTTTCCACAAACAGAAAGTCGTGTTAGGCTAAAGCATAGATAAGATATGTATCATATGCTGGTTGCCCACCAGCAGTAGCACTGGCCGAAAAGACGAGCTCTGATTGAGCTGTACTTTGGATTTAAAGAACAGGAACAGTGTCAGTTTGTTATCCAATGAGTTCATGTAGGACCTGGCTTCTTTTGTGCCTTCCTGTTGCTTGCATGGTTGTCATTTAACAAGTATTTCAACATTTCCTCTTTCCTCCCAGAAAAGGAAAGACATTTCTAAGAATTTAGAGAGGATGATAAAGAAGGGCAAAGATTGCCACTGGCACTTCATATTATAAGGATTATTAGTACATACACTGGGAATTAGCATCTTAGGGAAGGGGGGAAATGCTATGTGCATTTACAGACACTTGTAGCATTTATGTCAGACAGATACTGATTGAGATACATAACAGCAATATGGATGCAATCTGTTCATCATGTCAATATTTTCAGCTATCTCCAGAAAGACGACCCTTTGTGCAAAGCCTACATTGAATTCCTTATCCTGTAATATCAAGAAAATGAAGATCATAAATAATAGTTCTGAAGTTATCCACCAGCAACTCTTTGCTATCATGTGGTCTATTTGATGCAACAGCGTGACGCTGAAATAGACATACAACCGTTAATTTTCATGGACAGTGCTAGAAGATGTCAAAAACCAAAAAGATTGGAGCCACCGACTAGTCCATCATATGACAGGTCAGATGAAAACAACTGGTTAGCTTGCATGAACTAACAGGTTACTGTGAAAGTTTAAGCTGGACGATGATGGCTTCATATTCTATGCATCTAGTCATGCATTTCGAGCTCAACAAACAGACTACAGATGATATGGGTAAGTCCATAGGTCCTCATGTTACCTAGTTGCTCTGAAAGCTTAAGCTGACAAAAAGTGACGGCACAAATTGCCGATCGTGTTCAATACAGATATATTGGCTGAAAACAATAGTAATACATACAAGTAGCGATACGCAGCTCTAGTTATCTCAACATCATTTGAAGTAAATAGGCAGATGTACTGATTGGTGCAAGTGCTTACATGTTTCTGGTCATTCTAAATTCCATCAGAGGTTGGTGGTTGTTCAGCCCCAGAATTTGGCAGAACAGTGCTAGCTGACGCTTTCGGTATCTGGTTTTGCTGTGCTACTTGAGGCCCAGAAGCATATGGTCCTGATACCTGCAAATGACCAATGCCTAATCTAGGTGAACAATCAAAGAGGCCTGAAAATTCCCTTTGTCAGTATGGTATTTTTGTACCTGTGGTGGCACTGTTTGCCAGCCATCTGGGTGAAGGAAGGGATTGCTTGCCTCTCTCAGTTGAATGTTCTGCATCTGGTTTGCAACATTCATTGGGTTCATAGCTGGAGATGAATTTAGAGGGATGTGATTTGGCATAGAATGGTTCATGTATGGCAATCTTGACATGTGACTTAGGCCTTGTGCCGCAGGCATGCACGCAGAATTCATGCCCACGGCCATTGGTGGCATGAACTGGTGAGCACCAGGGAACATCATTGGTGCCATCCCAGTAGTCATCCACATGATCTGAGGCACAGATTCGACAATCTCAATCTGTGCTAGTAATTGGCCTCATGTAGGACCATGTAAGTTCAGATACAAGAAACAGTAGTTCAAACCTGAACTTGCATTTGGAGTGACTTCAGATACTCGATTGCTTCATCTAATATAGATGCCTTGTCGGTCTAATTGAAAAATATATAGATAACTGCAGTTAGTAAAGTAAACCCAAAAGGTTTGAATAAAAAAGAGAATCATATCAACAAAGGATAGATCAGATATGCCACCACTCACCAACATAGCTGTATCAGTCCATGGACTTGCACCTGATCAGAAAAAAGATGCATATATAATAATGTTTCTTACCTTGTTGCAATGAGGTATGAGTTCTTGCAATGCGCGCATCTTCTCGTTGATCCGATCCCTTCTTCTCTACATCAGTATCATCTTTTAGGATGACTACTAAAAATTTATCTCTTAAGATCAGTAGCTGTATTTGATGATCTCACCCTCTCTGACAGGTTATGAACTTCAGCTGCACGAGTTCTCCTCTTTGATCCATATCGCCGCGACGACGATTTGGTCTCTTCGGTTGCCTCGCATTCAGCATCCTGAAATTTCTCATCAGTTTCATTCAAGAATTCATCTCAAGCATAGCAAGTTGCAGGTTACAGCCAACGAAAAAAAAAAGATCACCTCACTGCGACTGTCTGAATCTTCTCTGCCTTTCCTCTTGTGGGCACTGGCGCTCTCGCTGGGCAAGCCGGAAGCGCCGAAGTTGCTGCCGGAGCCGCCCGACGACGACGTGCCGGCGCCGTCGTGGGTGCTCGACCGGCGCGGCCGCTCCGGCGGCAATGCCGCGCCGGCGTCCCGGCAGCGCTGCGCCGCCGTCTCCGGGATGTGGTTGCTGCCGCAGAAGGCCGAACAGATGTCGCCGGTCCAGCTCGACCCGATGCCGCTCCTCATCGGCGGCCTCGCCGCCGGGGGCGGCAAGTCCGGCGGCGGAGCGTGGTGAGAGCTCGGCCCCGCCGCCGCGGCCGCCGGGAACGCGTCGCCGGTGACGCTGCGCCAGAGCTGCGTGTAGAGGTCCTTCTCCAGCGCGTCGTCGAGGGTGTCCGGGAACCACGCGGCGGTCTCCGTGTCGTCGCCGGTGAGCACGCTGGCGCTCTGGCCGCGGCCGGAGGAGGAGACGACCCTCGCCTGCGCCGCCTGCGGCTGCGCCACGACGCCGCCGTTGTGCCATAGCAGCTCCACCAGCTCGTTGTCCGTGCTGCAAATCGCCATTGGAGCAAATGCACACAGAGTCAGGTCAGGTCACTACCATTCGGCAACAACACAAGACGAATCCGTTCTTGGGTTTCAGATGAAATCTCTACACGATTTGCTTCGTCTGATTCGCCGCCGATCTCGCATTGCCATCCATCCCACGATTCTTGTGTCCCCCCAAGAAATTCACAACCTGCATAAACCACATAGAAAAAGAAAAAAAAAGAAGCATTAAGCATCAAGTATAACTGCACAAGTTGGTTGAAACAAACAAGAACAGCAAGCACAACCAAGACAAGGAGACAAACTTTACACCTTAAAATAGAAGGAAAACCAACAAGATAAGCCGCAAAGTGATGCAAGAAACCTTGGAACAAACAGAAAAAAAAATAAAAAATAAAAGGAGAGCAAAGCTGAGCTACCCAACCTAGCTATTCCTCCTTCTTCTAGTAGCTCCCCAACCTGCACAACCATAGCCCACCACCACATCATCATCAGCTTCTCAGAAAGGGCAAAACCAAAAGAGAATCCTTTTCTGCACAAGCAACTAGCCACGCCAACAGCTATTGTTGACCTCTCTCACCTGAACCAAACCAAACAGTAGCAACTCTTGCTGCAAAGTCTCCTCTTCTTGCTCAGCTTTAGGCGCGGCAGTGCAGCAGCAGCAGAGGCGAGTATACGAACTCTTGCTGCCGCGAGTGTCCCGCAAAGCGTACTTGGAGGTGGTGAGAAGGGAACAAGGCCCGTGGGCTGCGTCCGGTTGGATTGTTGCCGGGGTGGAAATAATGGAGATGGAGGAGGAGGAGGAGGAGTTCCGATGAGGAGGAGATGGAGATGCAAGCAAGCTGCTTGGGTTGGGCATCGTTGTCGGATCTCCTTGGAGTGGGATATATGTCGGCCCTCGGAATTGCCAACTTGGATTTGCAGGAATGGATACATCGCTCTCCCACTTCTCTGCTACTTCTGCTGCTGCTGCTGCTGCAAGCTTAGGGCTCTGTAAACTAATGGTTTCTGCTTCTGTACTTTCTTCTCCTATCTAGGCCTGTTTAACTTCACACCAAACTTCCCCAAACTACCAACTTTTCATCGTATCCAAAACTTTTCTACTCACATAAACTCCTAACTTTTTTTTCAAACTACCAACTTTCTCCAAACTTCTCCCCAATTTTAGAAACTAAACACAGCCTAAGAGTATGTAACTGATGTTGTAAGCCTGTATCACTGTATGCATCAATGCATCATATGCATGTTGATGTCGTAGTAATATACTTTATTCATACTGGATTATAATTTGACTGATGTGGATCTAGCTGGGGTAGTTAATTCTTTGCAAAAAAATGATCAAGATGATCTATTAAACAGGTAGCTAATTATCTGCACCAGCCTGTTGATTCCATTGGTTATCTTTGGTCAAATTCAGACCCCTACACAGGAAGCATTGGAAAAATGCTAGTAAGTAATTTTTGGAGGTATTTGTTGATGCCATAGAGTCTGGTTTATTTGGGAACATTGTTGTGCATCAATGCCATGTAAACAGATTGGACAGGAAATCTTCTCTCCTTTCTGATGTTGGTCCCATCTCACTGTTGCGATAAACATATAATTGATGACTCTGAACTGAGTTTGCTCCAAGCCATAAATTTAGTTTTTCGATAGTTTCTCTACAGAAAGAGACCTCAATAGGACTATTCATCACATTGCCCATCCTGGCATGTTTTTGACAGCCTGAGGTAGAGTGTTTTTTTGTTCTTTGGGGATTTTTTTTCTTAGTCAAGGTATCTTCCCAAAATATTGTTGGAATTTCCCGAGGAGTTTTACTAAACCATAAACAAATCTTGAAGAAATATTTACAAAACATTATATATTAGGATCTCCCATGTCTTTTTACTTTTTAATAACAAGGCATTGTATACTTTTTTTAAGACAATGGATTAAATCCGACCTCTACGCAGGCCTTGTATACCAGCTCCACCTTAGCTAATTTTGTATGTTGTCTAGCTATATAGTTTCGGTGAAGCATAGGAACGATCCTTAGATAAAATGTTCTTTGAAACCTTTTTGAGAGTCAAAGCATATTTTTAGTGTTTGTTTTAGAAAGGTAGTATGTAGTTGATAAATATGTTTTTATGAAAATTGATGAGCAATGGTGCTTGATGCCTTGATGGATACCATGCCAAGTATTGCCCACCACTAGCATTGGAGATACGCATAAAATTCTTTCTATGGGGGGCAGGGCAATGACCAGAAATGATTCTCCCTTCTTCAATTCAGCTTACTTCATCATATGAGACCAAACTCACCAACAGTGACCCTGACGGTTCTGTTTCTGAAATCACCCAAAAAAAAACATGTCATCACTCTCATGATTGTATTGGTTAAGTGCAAGTTTTAATTTGACAAGAAGTGGTTAGTTTTGTTCCCTTGGAATCGGCTGCAAAATCATTCCAATCATACCAGTTCAAAGAATCTGAAAACGGTGCGCCAAAAAACCAAAATTTCTTTATTTCTGAAACGAAACACAGGAGCATACGATTCCTTTGGAGCAATGCGAAGTTAGCATCTCTTTCAAGACAGTAATATTTCGGAATAATTTGAAACGACATGTGCTCTACTTGCATCTGGGCATAATCTGAAAACGAAATGTGCCCCCAACATCCAAAGCCATAGGAAAGCAACTGTGGGATTTGGATCATTGCTAGCTCGGCTTGGGGTTATCTAGCTACTACTACTAGTCTAGCCCCTCTGGATCATTCCATTCTGACGTTTTCCATTCCCTGTTCCTTTCTGCAGTTTTGTGATCTTGTGATGAGAAAAAAAAAGAAGTTTTCTTTTTCTTCTTGGGATGCAGGCTGTGCTGTTGTGATCTTGAGCCAGGTGAGTTTGAGCCAATGGGAGCTCAGATGTAGATTACAGGGCAGTGCCTTCTCATCTTCAGAGAAGATCTGCAGGGTGTCCCCATTCTTGTGAAGACAAAGAACTAAGATAGCTTAAGCTCTTTGCTGACAGCAACATCTCATCCATAGGATGTGGTCACTAAGGTCCAAAGAAAATTTTGCTTGCAAATTTTATTTTATTAAGATTTGGCTCTAGTTTTACTATATAATATTGGAAATAAATTCAAATGTCACACTAAGTAATCATATTACAATTTATCTCCCATTTAACCATACACTCAATTTATACTGATTTGGTTGAGGAGTTGATGATGCTCAAACTATGGGTCAAATAAAGAAATGGATCATATATATTGGAGTAGATATGATAATTACTATAATATAAAAATGGTATTTTCCGTTAGAACAGGGTAGATTTTGGAAACGGTTGACATAATCACATAATATCAATATCGTTTCCGTTTCTATTTCCATTTTTTTATCATTTTTATTCAATTTTATCGGTATAATCATTTCTACATGGCTCGGTCCATAAAAAACAGAAATGAACTTCAGGCAGTCAGGTATTTCCATTACCGTTTTCACAGTATTAGTTTATGCCAATTTATGTGTTTAAAGCAGTCAAACCGGTAGATTATCTTCCTTTCTTTTAGAAGGGGACCAAGGCCAACTAGCAGTGCGATCCAGTTGTTGGGCTATAATATCAGTTTCCTTTCGTTAATGGGCCGGGAAATGGAAAACGGCCTTCGGCGGCAGCCCAACTTTTCTCACAGACAAAAAGAGTGTCTTCTGGAAGTACTTCTAACAGTTAAAAATATTTTTTTAGAAGTAAAAACAATTTGTAACACAAGCAGACGTTAATATACACGGAGACATACTCACCCCTATAAACATATATACATACCGATATGTCTCTATGTACACCTCTAAAATTTCTCATTTTCACATGAACTTTTCTAGGCAAGCCTCTATTTTCATCAAATTCTCAAACTATACTACCGGGACTAAATTCAGGGTCTGTTTGGCACAACTTCAACTCCAGCTCCACCCCTCCTGGAGCGGGAGCTCAGCCAAACAGTTTCAGCTCCACCAAAACTGAGAGTGGAGTTGGGTGGAGCTCTCTCACAAAATGTACTAGAGTTGTGGAGCTGGGTTAAGGCAGCTCCACAACTCCACTTCAGACTCAACTCCCGGAGCAATATTTAGGAGTTGGAGCTGTACCAAACAGGCTTTCATAGTCAAATTCGACTACGCGAATAGAAAAAAAAACAATCCAACTACACAAGAACGCCGCAAGCTTTTTAGTTAAATTTGTTTTTTTTAGTCGTTTCAGTTCCTTAGACCGTCAAGGCTGCAGCGCTGCATTTTGCTGCACCGGATTATGTGACCTGCGTCAGGAACTGAAAAGTGGAGTACTTTTTTTTTCCATGTCATATTCTCTGCGTAGCTGCCGCCCACGAGATTACATCAAAGTTCCAAAATGTTCAAACATGAAAGTACAATTGTGAACTTTAAAAATGAAATGTAGTAAAGTAACATATATATAATCTCTGAAAGTATGAAAGTAAAAACAAATACATAAACCGTACGTACACGTACACGTAAAACACAATGGCACGACCTCAACACATGCGTTGAGACCGTGCGTACCCAAAATATAATGTACACTAATTAACCAGCAACAGAGTCATCACATGCATAAAATTCAAACTCAAGTATGAAATTAAATCAACACACTCACACAAACATTGAGAAATTTCACATGAAAAATCTCTCAGTTTACCTACTGGCGCCGGCAACCGCCGCCGCCGCCGCCGTGGACGTACACGGCGAGTTCGCCGCGCTGCCTACGCCGATGGAGGCGGCGCCTGGAACGGCATGGGCACGTTCACGGTCGGGATGGACGGCATCGGCGGCAGCGTCACCGCCGGCACGGCGGGGATGCCGGCGGGCATCGGCGGCAGCGTCACCGCCGGCACGGCGGGCATCGGTGGCAACGACACCTTCGGCACCGCCGGGATGGCCGGGACAGCGGGCATCGGCGGCAGCGCCGCCGCGTTAGGGACGACCGCGGGCACGGTGGGCACGGCGGGCATCGGCGGCAGCGCCGCCTGTGGCACGGCCGGGATGGCCGGCATGGGCGGCAGAGTGGTGGGCAGCGCCGGCACGGCGGGGAGGACAGGGAGGGCGGCGGGAGGCGCGGCCGCCGCCGCCGCCGTCGCCGGCGTGTCGGCCAACATGCGGGCGGCGTAGCACGTTCTGCTGCTGCTGGCGGCGAGCAGAACGCACGCCATCGCCATGGCCGTGGCCATGAAGCTCACACTAGAAGCCATTGCAGCAAGACTAGCTTGTGTGTGTGTGTGTGTGTTTTTTTTTCTTAATCTGTTCTTGCAGTGAGTGCGAAGAACACGAGCCAATCTGTGCGCAATTTATAAGGCTAATTAAGTGAATATATATCCGGTTAGATCGGTGGTTGGCCAGAACGGTGTGTCGTTGCAGCTGCAACAAATTTGTTCTTTAATCGCCCATGTTTGGTAATCAGAACTCATATATGCTTGGCTGCTTGCTAGGATGTTCATCGATCGATCCCAAAAGGAATAATAACAAAAGGATAAATTCTGAAATTGTGTGGCCAAGGCAGGAGATTTAGTTGTAGCGATCGGCCAAATATATTGTCGACGAGGTTGTTTTTGTTTTGATTATTTGTTAGTGCATACTCCGTACCATCCGTGGATCGAAATTTCTTTGTTTAGGTGCAGCTTCAATCTGTTGAACCGTTTTGTTCGTGTCAGCTTTTTCTAAAGGAGTATTTTCGTCAGTTTTATCGACGACGTAAGCATATGCAGAATTTTTTTAAAATTTTTTATTAAAATATTTACAAAACTAATTTTGTGTTTCAAAAATTTACAAAATTAGTCACCCGCCGCTCTTTGAGAGGACGATTTTTAGAAATAGCCCTCCCAAATAGCGATTTTCGTGTTGTGGCAGATGGCCGTTGGCTCATGCCTAGCGGCCGGCTGTAGGGGGCTGCCATTTTGCAGGCGGCCCCCTTCCATCCTCAGGAAGGGCGGTTTAACACTATGCAGGGGGCCGCTTGTAAAAGAGCAACGAGGGCCCTGGAAACACATTTTGGAGACGGCACCCCGCACAGTGTTAAACCGCCTCTCTAAGGGTGGGAAGGGGGCCGCCTACAAAAAGGGCGGCAAGGGCGGCCTGGCTTTTTTTGCAGGCGGCCTCTTGCACAGTGTTAAACCACCCTCTCTCTATGGGTGGCAAGGGGGCCGCCTGCAAAATGGCATGCCCCCTTTGTTGGCCGTTACTTGTGAGGCGACGGCCGTCTGCCACGTCATTAAAATCGCTCCCTCCCAGATCAGAGGGTGGTGGGCAACTACTATTGTAAATTTTTGAAACATGGAATTAGTTTTGTAAATATTTTAATAAAAAATTAAAAAAAATCAGCATATGCATGGTTGTTTGTTTTGGCCCGAAAAATTGCTGCATAGGCAAAGCCCAACATTTGTTTTGGGCCGTAAATTTCAGGCCGGTTTGCCCGGAATGCTCTAGGCCCCCAAAATTAACAGTCACATATAAGCACGCATGATTTTCTTTTTTTTTTTTGGAGGAAACAGGGACCACTTTATTCAATCAAAGCATCGACACAAACAAAGTTGTGCGATAGCAGTACAGCTATTGTCCGGCCAGAAATGAGTAGTTCCTCAACTCGGCCTTTACTAACTAAAACATGACTAATATGATTTTCATTCCTATGCACCTTAGCAAGACTAATATCCCAACAAAAATAGACACGTATGATTCAAAGTTCAAACAGTGATAAAATAGTGGGTTACACAAGATTAAATTAAAACCTATAATATTCGACGTATAATTAATTCGTGCATTAAGCACATTAAATTTTGCGAGCACTCAGAGATTGGGTGACGCGACCCACACGTACGTACCTGGTCTGCACTGCACAGTGCACATCATACACACACGATTCATCAGTACACAAATTACCAACTTAACGTAACAACACACGGTAACACATGTACTCTTACCATCCAAGAAAAAATCAACTTCTAACTACGTCTATAAATTCATAGAGAAGTTAATTTTTTTTAGACAGGAGGAGTACTTAATTAACACACAGTAAGGAGGCACGTTATATTAAGCCGCCGGAGTACACACATCGCGGCGGCGTGAGCAACGGTATAACTTAACGACGGCATGGTGGCTCGCCGGAGTTGATTAACACCTATGGCACGGGTGGAACGACGGACGGCATCGGCGGCTGTGGGTCTTCCTGCACGGTGGTCGACGACGCCGGCGGCACGCCGGGGAATCCGGCGCCGGCGCCGGGATCAATCGGCGGCACAAATGGCGGCACTGGCAGGGTTGTCATGCCGGCGATCATCGGCACGCCGGGGATGATCGGCACGATCACCGGCACGCCGGGGATCACCGGCACGAACGGGATCCCGGGGCCAACCACCGGCACTCCGGGCACGCCGGGGATCACCGGGATCCCGGGGCCGACCGCCGGCACTCCGGGGACGCCGGGGATCGCCGGGATGGCGGCGGTGGGGAGTTCTTCGTCGAGGAGGCGCGCCGCCTGGGTGGACGTGGCGGTGGCACCCAGGAGGAGGAGGACGACGGCCACCATCGCTGCCGCGGCGAGCGAGCTCGAGGTGGAAGACGACGCCATGGGTGCGTGCTAGCTTAGCTAGCTAGCTAGCTAGGGTTTGATTTGGTTACTGGTATACTAGCTGTGTGGAGTTTGGAGGGCTATATATAAGGAGTTTGCAGAAGAGGGAAGCCGGGCATGCAATGCATTACGCATGTTGCTTCATCGCTTGCATTTTGCAGTTGCAGATCATCGCACGCATTTTGTGGTGGAAAGAATTACAGTCCATCAGTTGAACAATATATACTCAGGAATTAATGATGCATGACCATCCAAACATAAGAGACAATGCAACATAGGCCAGAAACGAGCATTCTAGCAATAAGCTAAATTTTCAACTGGTTAGCTAATTAATGGCATACTATATATCAATATATGATCAAGAATAATTTATACAAGCATACAATATTACAATCTCATCAGAAAATAACTTATCCCTCGATTTAACATATTGTGCAAGATATTTCACAGGCCAAGCAGGGGCAGATTTACCCATTAGGTAGGCTCGGTCGATCGACAAAGGTCAGCCCATAAAGTTCCAATCGAATCGCATGAGACTTTGTTTGTGACTTGTTTTTTTCACTTTCTTCATTCATTCCTCGCATGCATGGTCTCTGAAGAGGAGCTTTTAACAAGAGCGAAACTATGGGTGCAATCTATGGAGATGGAGGGACAATCTGAATCACTGCCGCTGGCTGAGGGCGAGAAAGGCTATTGAGTCCGAATGCATGCCTGATGGGAAAAGTGTCATTGGTAATAAGTTCAGAACCAAGGTATCGTAGGATTGTATAGTGGAACTTCGAATTTGATTGACGGATGAGCAACAAGTGATCAGTTGGTTATTTCCTTCGATTTTTTTATTTAAGATTTGAGTAGTTTTTTACTATTTACGGCTCAAAGATTAGGTACCATCTTAAATATTCATGTTTGTTTAATTTATTGATTATATTATACTTTTTTATGTGATTATAATATAAATGTTGTGTTCGATTATCCTTATAGAATGAGCATCAAACACATTCTTTTTTTCTATAGCTACGTCCGCCACTAAGTCCAAGTATATATGGGCTTTCATTTCTCACATGATTATATGTAAATTTTGAAATAAGTGGCGCATATGTCATCCCAAACAATATTGTTAAGGGGCACTTTTACTAAGATTGCATGCGTGGTAATTTGCCAACAAAGATATACACAATTAAAACGGTGATAGAAATATATATTTGTTAACATGACACGTATAATTTAAGCAACACGTTAAGCTTTTGCACACGTACGTATACAGAGCGTGACGCATTTGTCGCCACTCGCCACAAACACATACTGCACCTGGTCTGCACACACACACGTTCATTACACAAATACTATACCAACTTGACGTAACAACGTACATGCAAGTCATCTTAATTTGTACTCTCTCTGTTTTACAATGTAAGTCATTTTAGCATTTCCCACATATATATTTATCTAGATTCTTTAACATCAATATGAATATGAAAAATGCTAGAATGATTTATATTGTGAAACGGAGGAAGTACTTACTACTTAACACACGTACGTAATTAATCTGTAGATGGCTGCCGGCGCCGGCGGCCAATGCATGGCGCACACGGTCAATGCCACGTACACGTCAGCTGGCCGGAGTAATTAATTAACGACGGCACGGGGCTCGCCGGAGTTGACCTAAGGCACGGGCGGGACGACGGACGGCACCGGCGGCAGAGGGACGCCGGGCACCTCCGGCAGCGGGACTCCCGGCACGGCGGGCAACGGCGGCACCGGCAGGGTCGGCACGACACCCCCCGCGGCTCCGGGGATCGGCGGCACCGGCAGAGCTGGCACGGCGGGCACGACGGCTCCGGGATTCACCGGCGGCAATGGCACCTTCGGGATCGTCGGCACCACGCCTCCGGGATTTACCGGCAGCTCCGGCACTCCCGGCACCGTCGGGATCGTCGGCACGCCGGGGATGGTCGGGATAGTCGGGCCGACCGCCGGCACGCCGGGGATCGTCGGGATGGTCGGAATGGTGGAACCGACCGCCGGCACGCCGGGGATCGTCGGGATGGTCGGGATGGTCGGGATGGTGGGGCCGACCGCCGGCACGCCGGGGATCGTCGGGATGGCCGGGATGGTGGGACCGACCGCCGGAACTCCGGGGATCGTCGGAACGGTGGGGATGGTCGGGATGGTGGGGCCGACCGCCGGAACGCCGGGGATCGTCGGGATGGCCGGGATGGTGGGGCCGACCGCCGGTACACCGGGGATCGTCGGCATCGGAATGCCGGGGACGAGTTCGTCGAGGAGGCGCGCCGCCTGGGTGGTGGCACCCAGGAGGAGGACGACGGCCACCATTGTTGCCACGGCGAGCGAGCTCGAGGTTGAAGACGCCATGTGTGCTAAGCTAGCTCGTCTATGTAATTAAGCTAGGTTGATTAATTGGTTACTGCTATACTCTGTGTGCACTGTGGAGGGCTATGCCTATATATAAGCAGTTAGGAAGATGCCGATGCATTTATACGCACATTGTTGCGTTCATATCACTCTGCATTTTGCAGTTGCAGATTGCACGCATTTTTGTGGCGGAAAAGAATGGATGAAATGCATGGCGACTTATAGTCCATTAGTCCATCAGTTCAACACACAATACTGATCAACAATATGCACCGGTTGATTCATGCATGGCCACCCAAACATATGACAATGCAACATAGGCCAGAAACTGGCAACCTAATGTTTTTTTATCGGTTAACTGATGGCATATATTCAATGTAGGTATATATGCACCACATTGTACATGGTTTTTTTTTTCTTTTCTGTGGTTAGTACCTCACCTTCGCTAGAGCTGGTCTACATTAATGATGCAAAGTGCCAAAGTTAGAGCCCGGTGTTGTTGGAGACGAGATTTGGGTGGCCATGGCTGCTTAAACCTCCATGATTTCGGCATTGTCTGTATGGCTCGTAGTAGGGAATGCGGCCTTGGCTTCTCTTGTGGTGGTTGGTATACTGGTATATATGGGCCATGCTGCCGGATAGGCTTTTGAACGGTGCCATTGGGCCACGTCACAGCAGTCGGGGGAGATGGGGGCTCCGGGCCACGCGACGCCCAAGCTATGCTTCTGCTCGGTCATCCCGGTGGTCCAACGGCGTCGTCGCAAACTGACAAACGTCGTTGAAAAATTGAGGAATGCGGCGCTCCGTTTTTTTTCTTTTTTTTTCACGAAACGGCGCTTAGAATTGTGCTAATTTAATTGAATATAATGGGATTATGGGAGTAAAAAAAATATTACATAAGTATGAAGAAGTGTACAACAGTAAAATTTAGTTGCAGTCGTGAATGGCATAAAAAAATACTATGCTTGGCGTAATGGCGACGCTGTGAGGGCAGTCTCAACCCATAGTGTCCATAAGCAGTGTCTATGGTGCCATGTCAATAAGACATCACAATAAAAACTACACTCTACAACCCATGATTTCTTAAAGTGGCCCAGTAATAAATACATCATCTCTCTTCTCTACCAATCATATTTATTCTTCATATATTATGAAGACACTATTATCTCCCAACGCAAAACTTGATAGTGTCTAGTGCATAGGTTCTCGCGTTGAAGCTGTGTCTTGCATGAGACCTAGTTTCTTCCTCTCTTCACTCTCTCTCTTAATTAATATAGTGCCACATAAGTTAAAAGTCCTACATGTCAATGTAGTTAATGCTATAGATACCATCCTAAGTGGAGGGTTGGGACTGTCCTGAGAGTGAACGGCATGGTTTCCTCCGTATCCTCTCTCCTTTCTTTCCTCATCTCGATCTCCTCTTCCTTATGCGCTCTAAGCATGTGTAATGTTGCTACATACTTCCTTCCTCCTATTGATTAAGACACAGTCAAACTTATTACGGTTTTTAAAACTAGTTTTTGGCTTTAAATTTCTTGAATAATACGATTGTTTGTAGCAATAAAACCACAATTATACGAGAGTAAATTCAAATGTCATCTATCAAATAAAATTTAATTTAAAATAAAATATTATCGGTAAAATATTTAGAGAGTTGAGTCTTAAATACGCGCGCGTCTTACTGCATGTTGGAACACGTCGGCCGGCGCCACTTCCTGCCTCAAACTCTAGGCTGATCACCAGTTCACCACAAGCCTACCCACAAACTATCGTAGCGCGTTGGCAGACCAAGCCACAACGAGATATTGGTTTCTGCTACTAGTAGCTGTGAGGCTGTGGAGGGCAACATATAAGCAGGCAGCTAGTGAAGCTGGTCAGGCTTCACTTCAACACTTGCATATCGACAGAATAGCAGGTAGCAATAACCTGTATATCTATCGGCAAAAAGGTAAGCAGCATGCCCCCGCGCCCGCCGCCGGTGTCGGCACTCCAGCTGACGCCGCCCACGTGTATCCTCTGACGCCCAGCTAGCTTTTTCGCCGCCTCCTGGCCGTCGTCCCAGCGCTCCGCAAGCTCCTCCCAGCCACGCCAGTTCTCCGCAAGTGTCCTCCAGCCGTGCCCGAAGTCCCCGCCTCCGCCCAGATTTGGGCGTCCCCCTTCGGCCTCCGTCGCCTCGATGGTAGCAGAGACGCCAGATCCGCCACCTGCTGCCGCTCGCCGGTCCTTCGCTGATGCTGTCCGTGGTCAGGGCTTCCCAAATTCAAATTTGGGCACCAGCCGCACGCGCTCTCCGCCACGCCCCCTATTCAAGTTGGCTTTTACCTCCACTGTCCGGCGCAACAACCGCTCTGCTCGAGAGGTCACTCCGCCGCGGAGGAGTACTCCCTACGTCACTAGCCTTCCTCACCGTCACGTCGCCGAGCAGAAGATGGATGGCCATATCTCCGGGGATTCGCCTTAGATTCCGGTGCGTCGCAAGCGCTGGTGGCGTAGAGAAGAGCATTCATCCGCCTCCCGCCTACCTCCGCCTTCAAGTCGACAGCGCCCCATTTACTCCTCTTCGTATCGTGCGTTCTGGGCTCAAACAAGTGGGAAATGCTTCATTTGCCTCAGCAGAGAGCACCACGCTGCGCAGTACAGGGACCCGGTCTGCTGCTTCAACTGCCGTCGTTCCGGACATCGCGCGCGTGACTGCCGGCACCGTCGCGCCGTGCGTGCGTTCTCTCGGTCCCCGCTTCGGCGCGCGCGGTTGGGCGCTCGCACGCCCCCGCGGTCGCGTCCTCGCTCGTCGTCACCGCGTCGCCTGCGCAAGAGTCCGTCTCCCCGTCATCGCGTGCGCGAGCTGCAGACAAGCAATCGCCCGGCCTTTCCGCTCCAGCTTTCGCCGCCCCCGCCGAGAACGCGGGCAACCAGGATGACGCAGCTCGGCGACCCGGCCACGCGCCCGGAGGAAGACACCATCTTCATCCCCACCTCGTACGCCATTGATGAGGAGCTGCGCGAGTGGAATGAGACCGCGGCTGTTTCCTGGGCCGCGCGCGCGCCTCCGTCGACGGGGCCGCAAGACGTCGAGCAGGCGTTCTTGGACGAGTTCAAGCTTTGCCGCGGTGATGTGGCTGTCTCGCTCCACCATCCCCAAGCTTTCCTCATCAAGTTCCAACATCGCCGCCATTGCGAGGAAGCCATTGCGAAGGGCTACGTCAAGCGTCGCGGGATTGAAATCCACTTCATCAAGTGGCGCAGCCTGCAAAGCGCTCTCGGCGTCGCGTTGATGTTCCGTGTGTGGCTCTGCCTTGATGGCGTCCCTATGCACGCCTGGGCAGCGGACATCGCCGAGCGCCTCATTGGGCACACCTGTGCCTTGGAACAGATCGAGACCGACCTCGTCCACCCGATGGAGTCTGGCAACACTCGCTCCATCGATCTGTGGGCGTGGACGGCGAACCCCAGTACCATCCCGAAGCGGATGTGGCTTGGCTTCACCAACCGCGCGAAGGACCAGCAGCTGGCCCCCCTGCTCGTGGCGGAAAATCCGCCGGAGTACTGGCAGCGGGGAGTGCGTCATCCGGTGCTTTTCCATTTGGAGGAAATCCATGACTACACGGCGGCGATCATCGACCTAGAGGCGCAAGGCTCCTTCCAGCCGACGAAGCGGCGCTTGCCGCTGTGGACCCTGGAGGTGTTGGATGGCGAGCAGGCACCCGGGCGAGTCTTCGAGGACTTCCCACACCACCTACAGCCGCCGCGCTCTGTTCACGACCGCCTGGGCGACCACGATCGGGAGGACGAGCTCCGTGGATCGCGTCGCCCTGAGCGCGGAGAGCGGGGAAACAGGGGTGACGACGGCGCACATCACGGCGGTCGTGCGCGGGTGCGTGATCGGTCTCGCCGCGGATGCGCGGCGTGCATCGAGCAAGACCAAGATGAAGAAGAAGACGGCCGCGGCGATGATGATCGTGACGCCCCGGCCGACCATGACGACCGTGCCCGCGGCGGGAGAAGAGGCCGCCGGGGGCACAACAACGACCACCCCAGGGCTAATCAAAACTGGCGGAGCAGGGATCGAGATGACGACGATCGGGACGAACGGGGACGAGACTTCGGGCGTGGCCGCGGCGAACAACGTGCGATTGATCAAGATTACCGCCGTGAACGCACACGCTCCCCGCGCCAGTGCGACAGGGGAGGGCACAGTCGCCATGGCGGCCGGCGTCATCACGCTGGTGCAACTGACGTGGACAACGTCACCGACCCTGTCCACCCTGAGCCACACCTGGCAGAGATCTCTCTGCCTTCCCGCCAGCAGGAGCTTCACACCGAGGTTTGCAAATTTCGATTGCTGCATGCTTTGCACACTTCCCCGTTCAGGACGTAGGAAATCCCGGCGAGCCCTCCGACTTTAACTGGTGATCAGCTGCTTCGCCTCACGCTTGTCGCTGATAAGGCCATGACTGCGCCACCTCCGACGGCGACAGAGGACCTGGCCATCCGGTCTTTTACTGGGACTGAAGCCTGGTTCGGCAGCACGGCATGGAAGCCGGTGCCTGTTGCGCGCGTCTTTGGCCGCATCAGGGAGGCCTTGCCGGCCACGCCAGCGGTCGACACACTGACAACCTGCCAGCAAATTGAGGAGGCGCTGATGCGCCTTGAGCTGGCTGTCGCTGCAGCTCGCACCCCAGGCGATGACACTCTCCTACCACAGCCCATGTCACCGGCACCTCTCGCAGCGTCCCCGCCTCGCCGCTTGGAAGATCTGGCCAGCGACGCTGCGGCCGACAAGATTCTGCCGGCGCTGCTCCCCGGGGCGCTGCTTCCCCAAGAGATGACCCCGATGCCAGCCACCCCGCCCCCGTCAGCGCTGGAGCCAGGCTCGCTGCCGGAACGTGCATCCTCGCCATGTGCCATCGCGGGACTGTTCACCTCGCCTCCGCCGGCTATCATTGCGTCGCCGCCGCGCTTGACGCTTCTATGTCTGCGGCCGGTCGTCCTCTGTCACACCCTGTAGTTCTCCTCCTAAGCCTAAAATTGAATTTATAAATCACCCTAAGAAAATGCCGCTGCAAATCAAGAGAAAACCTTAATAAATTAAT